CACAGAATGGCTGTATCTTGATTAATTTTTTAATTTTATTTTATTCTTTTAATCTTCAGCAACAAAGGCTGACTGGACAGTCTTCTTTTTCTCTTCTTTTGTTTCATCTTCTTTTGTTTTCTGGCATTCATTAAGAGAGCTGCTCCACTGGAGATACTCCCATCATTTTAGTCGCTTGTGCTCAGACCTCTATGGAAGCCAAGCACTCTGTGGGCCTCTGAATTACAAGTACCATTTTGGTGGCACCTTGCATCTTTGGGCTTCAGCTATTGCCAATCCCTTAATGAATGTATGAAGTGAGTAAAGCACTTCTGCTGTGAACTCTGCTGACACATAAGGGGTTAAACTAAGCTCTGTTTATTAATGTTGATACTTTAAATTGTGCCAGAATGCTTTGAAAATGTGACAGTGGACAGGGCAGCAGGCAGTAAACACGGTTAAATGACAATACTGTTCAATATTTGCTGTTAATTGAGAGAGACAGCAGCTGCTGGTATGCAGCTTCAGCCAGGATGAATTAGTAATGAGTCTGTAACTCTGTTTTTTTTTTTTTTACTGGTTTAAAGTTGCATCAGCCCTTTACGGTTCAGTAGCATGGATGCAATAGAAATTAAAAAATCATAGCAGGCCCTAAATTGAAGATTTTGTTTTGTTTTCCAGTCAGTTGTCATGGAGCTGTGGTGTCAGTGATAAATTTGGAAACAGTAATAAAATTGCCTTGTATTTAAGGACCAAACGCAAAGATTTCTGGATTAGCTTTGCCATCCTGTGTGGCAGACAGTGTAAATGTAGCAGGCAAAGCAAGCTCCTCCTTTGAAAGAAAGCACTTTTGTTGTTTTCTCACTGGCTTCCAAAGACGTTTTCAGTTAGGGTTTCTTTGAACAGGAGTTTTGATTGAACTTGCTTTGCTGGACTGCGCTGCAGTTTGCGGTGTATGAAATAGTTCTGGCCCTTGTGGGAGGGACCCTCCGCGGCAGGACAGGGAACACTAATGCAACATTTTCCTTGTGCTGTCTTTGCACTTTTGCTATGCAAATGTGTTGAGTTTTAACCTTTGAAAGCTTGCAGATTAGCTCTTATCAGCCAACAGTTAAATTAACAAATCCTTCCACCTTGCTGAGTTGGGGTAGGAACTTCCCAAGGCTTCAAGGCCTGGGTATTGTACAGGATCAGCATTAATCCAGGCAGAGCAACCAAACTGGGGACAAAGTTTGCTCTCTGAAGAAATCGGCCACAGCTGCTACTTTCATGCTGTTTATACAGCCTTCCCTGTAAGCATTTATTTTGCGCGTTTTATTTTGAGCTATAGATGTGATCGTGAGAGTGCAAAAGCGTGTTATAGTGGTTAGCAGCATCTTTAACAGATCTTAAGTTGGGCACAGGAAATGAAATTCTAGCTCTGATGAAAACAATGCTAACAGTCTTATTGATTTCAGTACAGCTTGGCTTTCACCACAAGTAGAAGAATTTAGAAGCAAATAATGTTTTGTTTGTTCAGTTCTTTAAACAGAATCCATCTGCAGGGGTTAGCATTTGAATCCAAATAGAATTCTGCTGGTGTTTTGTTAGGATGAGAAATACTAGATGGAAAAAAATTCCTTGGCTCCATGATGATTATGTTAGAGGAAAAAATACTGATCAGCAGGTAAGTTTTGTAAACCTGTTTCCAGTTTGGATGCTTTCTGTCTTATGTACATTTGTTTGTTGTATTTGTTCTATTTGCTTTAACAGTTTTTACCAAGTGGGTAAGTGCATTTATGGAGTCTTAAGAGCTTAAGTCTGTGATACACCATGCTATCTTCCGTATTGGCTTATAGATGCATAAAATCTTTCAGGTTGAATCTGGAGAGAAGGTGTTAAAAACCAATAGAATGCTATAAAAGGTGGCGGTAAATGGAAGTGCGGGAAGGGCTCAACTCGGCTGGTGGTAAAAGTCCTTTGGCCCCAGAAGTCCCTTCTCGTCTAGGGTACTGACAATTCCTACATTCGTTAGCAGTTATCAAATGATATTTTAAAATATGTCCTTAGAAGGCTGTGCTTTTTCAGTAATAAATTCAGTAATTTATTCCAATGGCATTCTGCCAACTTTGGGCATCTAGTATCTCATGTTTTTTATGAATCCCTCCAATTTTAGGTGCTGTTTTCTTTATATGTGAAATATATTTAAAATGATAATGTAATCAAATATAGTGTTTCCTTTTTTGTGTGTTTTTGATTCTCTCAAGTTTGTATTATTGTTTCATCTGTTGTATCTACTTACAACGTTTGGTTTTTGTAAGCAAGAAAATAAACCTTGGTGTGTTTACATGCACCATTCCTATCTTAAAACAGTTGTAAAAATTGTAATTACTGGCTTTTTAAAAAAAATGATTTAATAGAACCATTTAATTTTCTTGTAAATGAAGGCAACTATTTACATTTTTAATATATTAAAAGTATAAACTCTAAAGTTTGTCTAATAAACCTGGTATGTATATTTAGTCTGGTTTTTATGTTAAGGTATTCCTCCTTACCTCTGTTGAAGGAGTTATTAACTGCTTAATAAACATTACTCTCAGCAGTGTGCTAGTTAGGAATTAAACTATATAGCTATGTGTTATGTCCCCTATTTCTATGAGGTTTTTTGCTAGGTGTTTGATGTGATCTGTAACAAGGTGTGTACGTGTTCATCTGTTTTGGAGTGGTCATGTCTGCACTTCTAAGGAATTTGGATGCCATGTCTCATTCTTGCTTGTGTTGTGTCTCCATCATGCTCCCAGGACATGTCGTGTGGCCATTATACTGGTGCCAGTGAGTTGCTGACTGGCTGTTTATGTAAAACTATTTGGGCACCAGCCCCTACTAGAATAATGCTGGTATTGCTGCCCTGTTGTTTCAACTTGAGGTAGTGTACAACAGAGCTCTGCTGACTGATCTGATTTGCGGATTTTATTTTTTTCTGCAAACTGTTCAGTAAAACGGGAGAAGTTTTCCTTGAGGAGCATTGCCACTTGCTTAAATAATGCAATGGGAAAGCACAGCAAGAGGCTTTGATGCACTGGTAGAATTACCTTCCGCTGCTGATGGTGGAAGGGTCTAAATGGATGAACAGATTTACTGCAGTTGTGTGTCTGTCATTGCCAATATTGATGTATTGCCTCCAGGAAGGTGACTGACCTGGAAATTAGTCTATAAATAAAGGGTTAATGCAGGGCCGGTACAGGGCAGCAATGGTTGCAAACTGGTAATTACTCGTGCAACAATATTGCTATATCATTCTCCTTTCTGTTGCCCAAATATAGCCTCTGAATGTAGCCTAACCTTGACTTCACAAGCTTTCTTTTACCGGGAATGTGAAATTACCTTTCCTGGTTTTGTGGCAAATTCAAGAGGATAAGAAGAGAACTAACACAGTGCTAACATGAAATGACAGAGATGATAAGACTTAGTACTGTTGGTGAACCACCAGCAAATGTGTGCCCGGTTGAGCTACCACTGTTGTGAAGTGGCTTTGCAGGACTTGTTTTTGCTGTTCCTTGGTTAGTAGTTTTAAAGGAATATTCAATAGAAATTATTCAGCTTCTATGATTGTGAACTGTTTTTCTCAAATGCAAGATTTTCATGTTTGTTTCCTGTAACACAGTGTAACTGTTACTCTCTTTAGTTTTATGTATAAATGTAATGGCCAATTCACAGCTGTCCTTTTGAGATTGTTTTTCTGATGTTACCATCAAAAGTGACTGTTTCAAAATATGTGACTGCCAGTAATTAAATGTGGGAGAATAAGAAGAGCAGAAAAAGTTGTGAAGAGTGTGGGGTGAACTGTTCTGTTGGGGGGACACCTAGAAAAGAAACAGCTCCTGCTGATAGTCATTCTGTCTCCTATACAAGAGTGCTGGTGGCACCTTCTTTCTTCCTAAGGATTGTTGTTATAGATCTCATTGTGTTTCCTACATAATTTTTAAAATAATCCTGAAAGTTAATCTTGGGTTAAATTGAAGTATGCAGTTTTGACATGGGAGGGGAATACGTGATGCCTACTCTTACTTCTGCAAAAAATTTGGAATATGCTGAACTTTCCAAACTTTGGGAATGGTCTGGAGACCAGCTGAGTTGCATGTGGTGCATAACATGAGGGAGATGGTACTTATGTTTTTGCAAGGCCACATAGCTTTTCTTGTCTGAAGTCTCTTAATTCTGGCAAGACACTTGTGCTGGTATTACTGAATCCCTTCTTCAGTGTTGTAGTAGCCTTGTTGTGACTGTAATGGCTAAGGATATAAGGAAAACAATGTTTGCAGGTAGAGATAATATCTTTTAAGACCAGTTAATTTAGTGTTTGCATTAAAGGCTAGTATTAGCCAGTTCTGTATTTTCAAGGTGTTGATTATCTTCGATTTTATGAAGAACTGGGCTAAGTCTTTCAGCCTTTTTGATTTTTGGGGGGTGGGAAGAAGATGCAGTAGGCTCAGGATTAGAAGTTTTAGTATTTGTTGTCTCTTCGCTTTCATGTTTCTGATAGCAAGAGGAACAATGGTATTGAGTTGTATATACATAGGAGGACTGTAATAATGTATGCTTTTCCTAAAATTTGCTTAAAATTAAGAAAACTCGGAGTTTAGGTATAAAGTTAAGCACAGAAAAATCATTAATAGATTATCTTGAAGTATGTTATTTTAAAGTCTAATGCAGTCCTGAGTGATGTAATTTTGTAATATGGAAAGCTGTGAGCTCTTTTACTGGAGCTGCTTGCTTAATTTAGATTAAAATTGTATCATAAAAGGATTGCAGAGTGTATGCCTGTGCTAAGAAAGGATGTACTAAATGTGTTGGGGTCTTTTTCTACTCCCAACTTCTTTCTGAAAGTGCACACATAATTTTGGATGTTTTATGCTGCATTTAAGTGTGCCACGTAACATCAGGACGTGCTAATGGGATGTTTCGGCTTGATCTCAGGAGTGTTTATTTTTATACACATTTTTGTTCAATAGGATTTTGAGTTTTCTTGTTCTTCTTTCTAGAGAGAAGAATTCAGTGGTGGACTGTCCTAAATGTTACTCATGGTGCAACTTCAGAGAACAGCTTGATTTATCTGACTTGAAGAAGAGGCACATGTGCAATAAGCCAAGAGGACATGGGCTTTCAGCGCATCTGGAAAAATGATCAGGTATCAGCAGTTGTTGATTTCTAAACTGTAGTAACTGGTCAGAAACTTGAGAAGACATGAAACAATGATGCACTCACTCCTGCAGTTGTCCTTAAATTTTAGGGATGCTTTAATTTGAAGGGTAGGAATGAGGTAAGGTTACCTTCTCGTTTTTTATACGGGAAGGGACAAGTGCCAAAGGAGTGTTTGCACAGACTGAGTTGAAGTTAATCTTATAGTATTTAGATTTTTCAAATATAACTTAAACTCTGAAAGTATTTAAATCTATTAATTCAGGTTTGTTGATTTTGTGAGGGGATAACTTTGATATATTATCTTTCCATTGTCACAAGTACTTTTTCATTATACTTACTCTGATGATTGGCTGGAGAATGCAGATGTCCTCACAGGAATCCAGGCTGTTGTCACCAGAGTAGATACCAGCATAGTTCCAGAAGATGCAGAGAGTTGTGGTTCATTTTGAAATTGAGCATGTTATAGTTTTGATAATGTAAGAACTGTATGTTTTTAACTCTTTGTTTTCAAGCAGCTGTTCATAATTTCTAAAATAATGTCAAATGTCTATAGTGTCAAACTTTAGTATTGGAAGTAATGGCTCTGCATAGGTGCTTGAATTAGCTGGCTCACTTGTTGCTGATTCTGTGTCTAATGTCTGTTGCCATAGGTAGTGCAGAGCTTGTGCATCTCTGGTGTCCTGCCTCTGATATTTCCCTTTGGGAAGTATCAGCCGTGATCAGGGACTTGCTTTAGCAAGCTCACAGTCCGTTTTGTTATAGTCAGAGGGGTTTCATTAAAAAGTAACTTGGCACTTCTTCAGTAGACAGCATTTGTTTGTTTTGTACTTCTGTTCACAGTTGTGCTGCCTGTCTTTGAGAAGACAGAGCCTGCATCATGGAGGAGGTGACTGCTGTCAGGGAACCGCCGAGTTCAGCTCGGGGAGGGAAGCTTTGGGAGGCTGAGCAGGGCAGGAGGAGGAGGAAGGAGTGAGAGATGCAGTAGGCAGTCAGGAGCCTGCAGCTCGTGCAGGGAGACTAAGGTAGCACTGAGCAGCAGACAGTCCTCAGTGGTGATGAGAAACTGCCCAAGGAACCAGACAGCACTGGGCAGAGTCTGCTGCAATTTGGACATTGAGGGCTAAATGGAAACCTGGAAACAAAGCACAGCAGGCAGGGAAGGTTAAATGGAAACCCTATTTCTAGTCTGACTGACCTGGTCTCTCTAAATTTCCCTTACTGAAAGCATTCTAGTTCATATTCTAAGAGGACTTGGCTTTTTTCTTCTGGGAGCTTCAGCCCTGCAAGGCAAAGGTCTCTGTGTTTGGCAAAGAACTCTGACTCAAAAGGAGTCCAGGCTCAGACAGGTTGATCCTGTTGACTAATTACAATTTAATTTTCTGAGGAGTGGCCAGCCATGTAAGGAAATCTTTGGACACAATAGAGAGACCACTTAGGACACAAGGTTTAATACGGTTTTTGGTGTTCAAGTGTACTATTCTTCCCCTTTGTCCTCAGAGTGAGTCTTTATGGTCTGTTGTTACTTCTAAAATGTGATGTAAATGGCAGGAGGTTTCCTTCTTTGTCTCATATTCTCTGATCTTCTAATGCATCCATGTGAGCTTCTGATATTTTTATGTAATGCATATTGCCTTCGATGTTAGGATGATGCTTAGTGTGTTTTAGATGTTGCAATTCCTAAGAATATATAATCTTTTCATTCTGTGTCATATATGCAGTTTTTTAGTTTAACTGCACCTGTTTTATGTATTAAAAATGAAATGATAAAACTTGTATGTTATCAAATGTGCATATATATATGTGAATAATTGAAAAGGAGCTAATTGTATAAAACTTCTGTAATCTTTTGGGAAGTAAGTTTAGAGGGATATTTTCTAAAAGTTTATTGTTTTTTTTATAGATGCTAGATGAAAAATCACTTGTCTCTCTAACTGTAGAATTAAAGTTTTCTTCAGTTGGTGAATGGATATATGCATAATGCAAGAAAACATTTAGTTGCTTCACTCAAGGAGACTGAAGATGGGTTTGTTCTATACATTTTCTTTAAGTTTGCATGTTCTTTGTCATGAGGAGATAATTCATGCAGAGAAAGTTAGAGATACGTAAGTTTCAGGAGGTGCCTGAGACATCTGAGTCGCATTGCAGGAAGATGTGAGATAGAGCTACATTTTGAGATTAATTTCTTAATATAAAAGCTGTCAATTTTTACCCATTCTATGAGGAATAGTGGGTGCTGTAGAGGCAGAGCATCCATATATTTAGACTCTAGCTGTCTCTCGTTATGAGTTATAATTAAGGTGAAGTATTTTACTGAAGAATTAAATTCTCCCTTGATTTGAACCTGATTTCATCTCAATAAAAACAGTTACATGAACTACCCTGTCCTTGCTTCATCAATGACAATTTACCAGTTGCTCTGTCAACATTGCTGCTTCTTATTTATCTTTTTTTTTTCCAGTTAGTAGACAAGGCACTCTGTATTAGAGTGCTGTATGTGTAGTAGTAGTGTAACAGAGGTGCCTTAAGTATAGAAAGTATGGCTCGTAAGAGGGACTGTGACATTTGTAGGTGGCGTGTAATGGGAGAGCAAGTGAACCAGGCAAGCTTCTAATCATGTAATCTGTCATGTTTATTTCCTCCAGTGTATTATATCTTTTGTGAAAAGTATACAAGCACTTTCTATAAACCTTTCCTTATTAATAACGGGGAAATTGGAGTTTGAGAAGGCTCACATCTCTTTGCTGGAAGGGAAGTGCGGTCACCTTTTTTACTATGCATATGGAGGACTATAGGTAATAAAACACTCTTGTGAAAGAGTTGTCCGGGAAGGTCCCAGGGTTAATGCTTCAGATGACAAGGTTTTGGCTCTCATTCTTTCTTAGCCATGACTTGAATTTAGTAACCAGGTGCTTATTTTCCCTGGATGGGTAAATCATGTGCAAGACAAAGCTGATGGTTTGATTGAGTTGGAGTATCAGGACATTGACTAACTTTTATGTGCCCTTTTGGTGAAGGCTGTTTAATTTTTGGTTGTCTCTTAAGGTCAGCTCTATGACTTAATTCAGAAAGCATGTATTTGGTGTGCAGCTCCTGAGAGTGTCCTCATTTTGAGTGCCTTCTACCTCATACTGCATTGTCCAACATTGTGCTTGAACACAAGGACAATGACTGCTGACAAGTTAAATGTTCTCAATCTGAATATTCTGGACCAAAAATCTGTTAATCATGACTGTATCTATTTAAAGTGTTGTCATAACTCTTCATGAAGTGAGTAATTCTGTGTCGTGATATCTCAGACAGATCAAGAGGACTTTTCTAGGGTCTGCATTTAGCAGTGGGGGAACAGAAGTCTCTTGGGAGAGCAGAAAGGAAAAAGCAGTAAGCTCTGAAGCAAAAGCTACTGATAGCATCATGACTGATGCTAGTTTGGGAGGAAGATGCTGAGCAGGTTTTATTTGTCTTGAGAATATTTACATAGGGCTGATCCACTGTTCTTGAAGGAACTTTATCACAGCACTACAGAGAAAACTGTTAGTACTAAATATAGTGCCTTATTCTGGCAGTCTCTGACTTATAAATGCTTGAATTCTGCTCTCTTAATGGGCTTTCGGCAGTTTTTGTAGGTTTTTTTTTTTTTTTGGTAGAAATCTGAATAATATTCCTCAGAGAGGTTTTATAACATTAGCAAGTATAGAAAGATTTAATTTGGCAAGACCTCGTACTGCAAAAGATCAGATTAATTTTTTAGCTTCTGGTCTTGCTGCAAAAGCTTTCAGTATTTCGTTAGCTTCATAGAAGAGGCCTGAAAGGTTCCAGAAGATCATTTTGACCCTGTGCATCAAAACATCATCACTATTGCTGGACAATTCTTGTGAGGTGATTTTTTTTTTTTTTTTTTTTTTTTTCTTTCCTTTACTGCCTAATATAGGAGGCAACATGACTTTTTTAGGCTGGTGCTTCACTGTGTTTACCATTTGTAAAAGTTCTTCTAATGGCCAAAGTAAATTTTTCTTGTTGCAATTTGAGTCCATTACTTTTTGTACTCACCATAGATGTGGGGAATAGCTTTCCTGTTTCTTTGCAGAAACTGTTTCTATATTTAAGAGAAATATATCATATTTCAATCTTATCTCTTCTTTTTACTCTGTTCAGATTGAGCAACCTCAATGAGTTAGCTCACTCATCCCTTGTAGCTCATTTTATTAACTGTCTTTTCTTTTGGTTCTGGAATGCTTTCTCTTTCTTGACAAGCCTGACCCAAAAATGGGCTCTACCAAAGGCTTTATCAAAACTGAGTAGATTGGGAATTTGTCCTCCTGTCAATGAACAGAAGTTGCTTTGTTTGTGACAACTTGATATTTATAATTTGTGCTCAGTCTGTGATCCTGGCTATCCTGAATCCCTATCTACAGAACAGCTGCTCAGCAGTTGTTTCTATATTTATGCAGGTGATTTTTATCCTCTGAACAGAACTTGACCTTGAGAAATTATACTGCATTTTTTAATCACTTCTCCAGTGTCATTAATCCCTCCCTGCAATAGCTTCCCATTTATGCATGCCTTTTTGTGGGAATATGCCTTTTTGTAGGAGTAACGTAAATTACAGGACACTTCTTTCCACATGGCACTAATACTGAGGCTTTGTTGTGAGGTCTCATTTCTTTTGCAGGCTCCTAACCTGGAAGAGGAGAGATGACTATAGCTCAGTTGGCTTTAAAAGTGTCACTTATAACTGCTAATTACACATACTTATTTTTACCTTTTTTTTTTTCCCCCCAGTATTTCTCGCTGCTGGCAATTCTATTAAAGTTAATTATTGTTATGGAAGACTTAATTTTGGCATGTTCTCTGGGAGGAATATTATTTTCTGATTGCTTCCCTGAACAAATAGATCTGGTTTTCTCACATGGCCTCTGCTAAGGCTTTCTGCAAATGATTTCTAGAGGAAAAAACCAGCAAATAAACACGTTTTCATCTCTTTAGTTGTATTACTCTAATCCTGACTATCTGTATTTAGGCTGACTTCCTGTTTGTTCATTCTCCCCTTGACAATTTTACAACCCACTGTCCGATTTCAACCACATGTTAGAGGTGGAGGTTTTAAGATAACGAAATTCC